ACTTTCTATGAAGCCACAATTAGCTATAGGGAGGATTTGGATCTTCCTGATTTAGTGTAATAAGGTTTACTTGTTAATAGTTAAAAATGGATAAGTCTGCGTTCATTTGGAAAATTTATCAGTTAAATATAAATAAGGAAGAAATAGTTTACTTGAATTGATGAATTTAATTGGGCAAAATTGTTGATCATCAATTTATTTTCAACACAATTTCATGACAAATTGCTAATTTTGATTACAAATTAAACTTCATTAATCTTTTTTTGCAAGTCACATAAATTAAAACATCATCAAGTATTTTTCTCTTGGTCGAATCAAAATAAATAAATTATTTGATCCTTTCCCTGAATGTGAATGCATATATTACATGGTTATTACTGTACTTTATTGGTGTGTTGGTTAATAAATTTTAAACTGTTTTAATAGCATCAAGAAACCTAAGAGAAGAACAAAATGAAAAATGAAAAATTGAATAACACTTTCAAAATACTAATTTGTAATTAATTATTCCACAATTTATTCACTCTTGAAATAAACGACAGTGATTTCTTTTCCGATTGCCCCAATCATGTTTATATACTGCGTAGTAAGAATTGTTGAAAGATAACTTCTAATAAAGTCAAACCTCATTTCAACGAATTACAATTGAGTTCGTGTTATAACGAATTTTAAATGTGCCCCATAGATTCGTTCGACTATTTCAACTGATTATAGATAATATATTCTATTTATTTACCTAGTATCAAATCTTCTATTTCTTCATTTAAAGGAAGGATAATCACTAGGATTCTTTCATAATGTTGAATAGTGACTTTTTAACTAATTCTATTTTCTTCCGGCATCGGAATGAAAATATTCGTTTTAATAGATACGAAATAAGTTCCTTTTTTCACTGATATCCTGATATCTAAATAAGCAATCAATTGGGTCTTTAAAAGCGCCTTTATCCCTGTTTTGATTGTTGGTATAATTGCTGATTGGAGATTTTTTTGTGTCATATTTGTTTGATAAATTCCTTGATAACGTACATACTTTGACATTCGATGTTGACCACATTGCCAAATTGTTTATAACTATCATGGTCATGCGCTGCTAATATGAAGTTTTCAGGGAATGATTTAATCTTGCTACTTTGCTACCAAATCAGGAAATATTTGTGATTTTTACAACGAATTCCTGATTCTTGACAGAACAGAATTGTATTCATTGTTATTATTATTGGCTGTTTGTCATTCTAGTACTATTATTTCCACAGTCTAAAATAATTTGAACGATAAGAAAATTTTGACATAATTCTTGAAATATGAATTTCATTAATAACAATTATTTGCAATTAATCCATTATGTAATTCTTGTAATTACCAAAGTGCTCACAAGTGTGTACCTTAATCATTTTTTCACCTTCTACCTTTATTATGACAAAGTCTTGCTGTTTTCCATTGTTGCCCAACTCCCAAATCTTTGATCAGCAACTAAAACATGGTTTTTTCTTCTTCGCTGGAATCAAGACTTTTAGAGTTTCATAAAGCTCGCTGCCATCTAAAAGTTCAATATTTTCTGGATGAGGCTAGAATATTGATGTCATATAATTCATGATAAAGAGTTATTAATGGAGAACAATGAAAATATATAATTCTAGATGAATATTTATGTTTTATTTAATTTAAAATTAACGTTTATTGATACATAGTAATAGGTAAACTCGATAAAGCAAACATTTATTATATTCTAAACAATTGATTAAAGTGATTTATCGAGTTTACCTGTGTATTATATTTATTGTAAAGAGTATAAAATGAATTTAGTGATTATATATATATAAAAATAAAGGGGGTGGGTGGCTGTTTTAACAACCCTTCTATAACTTTATTTAAGAAGATTGATTGATTTTCTTTTTGATTTGTCGGGAGTATAGAATTGATCTTTGATAGGATATAGTAAAACATTTAATTTAGGAGTGACAACTATACAAGTATTTGATGGTATAGTCAACCAATCCGTCTTTTCAAATGTCAAAGGTTCTAGAATATAAAAAGTTGTGATTTTTAAAATAAAATTATTATTTATTTATTTGTTTATTTACATAATAGCATATTATTAATTTACCTGATGCTATCAGTACAATGTCTTCTCTTTTATCGGCTTTAAACTAAAATTCATGATTGATTAGTTAATTAGTAAAATCTCAATAGAATATATAAGTGTACAACTGTACCATTTTATAATGTCCAGGCTTATATTCCATAAAACTTGTCCCTACAATATTTATAACAAACGATGTTATTATCATATCATTAATTATGTAGTTGTTGTAATGAGATACAGATAAAGTTTACCAGATGAGAAATACAACGAGGCAGCTTCTCTCGTCTGACAATTGATGTAGCGAGTGCAAACAACAGAACATCCATCTGTCACAGCAAAATTCAACAAGGATGGTTCCTAATATTTAGTCGGATGATTATTAAGAGATTTGAATTATTAAATTATCTAATAAATAAACTAGATATCGAATACAATTAATTATCCATACATTGATTCCTTCTTCTTCAGCCCAAATATTTAATTGTTGAATCGTTTTTAACATTGCATTTCTCAAAATTTCATGACTAAATGGTCCATTCTTTGGATCTGATAACTATCATCATCGTTGTTGGTTTGTTGTTATTATTATTATTATTATTATTATTATTATTATAGTGATAAATTAATAAGTAGGGATTTTAATAATTAGAGAATTCGTTTGTCAATCATCTCCTACCCTACTATTTATTCTCCTTTACTCATCCTCTAAATTCCAAAAACTAACCTGATTTAGAAATAATGCAAAGGCCCATTCCGAGTCAGTGTTTCCTTGGACAAATAAAAAAATATCCTCTTTTAAAGATTGAACTAATTTTCTTTTAATCTATTAATAAAAAATAACGTCTGATTGTGAGTTTAATCGAGATGAGCCAATTAACTTGTTTAGAGTCGATTAATTATACTACACTGTGTGACTAATCAATCAGTTAACCAACCGACCGACCAATAAATTACCTTGTAGAAATCTTGAATGTGACCATTGTGCATCCACATCAAACTTTCATACTGCCATGGATGACCTTTTAAGTTATAATCATAATAATAATTAATAATTAGATATCTATAACAATCGAGCGCAAGAAACTAATAATAAAATTACATACAATTAGTTTCTGATAAAGCACCAGAATTAGAAGCTCTGACATGTGCAAATACTAAATGACTCTTTATTTTTTCAGCTAATCTTGATAAATTCTTGTTATTCCATGCAGGTGTGACAGATGAAAATATACAAGGTGATTTGGTCTGCTCTGATTCTTGATTATTAGATTCATACCAACCTTAAATTGTAATACGAATTAGATAAAGTACAAATTAGAGAAAGTGTTTGATAAAAGGGAATAACAATAATAATAGTAATAATAATAACAGTAATAATAACAGTAATAATAATAATAATAATAATAATAATAATAATAATAATAATTATTATTATTATTATTATTATTGTTATTATTATTATTTGAATTTTCCCAAAATTTCTTAATTTTACCTACACCAAATCCATCACCTAAAATAATAATAAAAAATTAATATATATGTGATTATTATATAATATAAACAATCATCATCGTACAGATTACTACCGTTGAGCCTCGATTCAATTCTTAACCTTGAGTCAAAAGATTGATTAATTATAGAATGTGCTGGCCTGGTAATTAGCTATAAATACATTTTTATTATTATTTATTTAAAAGGAAAGTAAGTATATATTAGTAAAATGACCTACATGTGCTAATTTAATTGAAGCCTTTCCTTTATAAATTAGAAGCCTACACATTATTATTATTTCAAATTAACAATATTTGCGATATTCGTAATATTTAATATTATTTCAAAAAAATTTGCAATATTCGCAATATTTCGCAATATTCGCAATATTAATATTGTTATTCGTTCATACAGTTTCTATGTTCATAAATGTCTCCCGAATTCGAACCCCTTGTCGATCAATTCATATGTTAATGTTCGAGGCTATATACATTTTTTTATAATAAACAATTATTGAAATAAATACAACCAATTAATCAAACTTACTTTTTTTCTTTTGCTCAACACATATTTTGGTGGAACATCTATGTACCAGAATTTAAATTCGATGACTTTTATTTCTTGACTTTTAGTGCGCTCCTAAAAGTGAACAACATATTAGACGAAAACATATTAGGCACGAGATAATCAGTAGATAAAATAAAGATCACGAAAAACCATTTATTATTACCAAGTACTTTTAGTAACCGAATCTTTATATGATTTAATTGTTCAATAATATCTGACTTGCTATTGATTACTTACTGCACAGAAGAAATTTAGGAGTAATAACATCTTGGCAGCGGATTTAAGTGCATTATCTGAGCGATATCTAGAAAACTGTTTTTAAAATCATTATTATTAAGCAAATTTCATTGTAATGAAAGTTTTTAGCTTAGAAACCATTTTATTTGGCAAATCCAATCTGGAGTTGTATACATGGATAGGTTTGTCCGAAATTGTCGAATTCTCAACATTCTTTATATGAATGAACATAAAATAACCACGCTGTTTGATTTATTAAAGAGTTCAAATAATCACTTCGATGATAATTAAAATCCCAATATCATTGATTGGGACGAAAACACTTTGATGCCCTAATTAAGTGCAACATAATGTCGATTAATGAATGAACTAATAATAATAAAGGGAATAGATCAAAATTTTTTTTATATATAAAGACAAACTTTATAACCAAATGAGATAGGACAAAAGGTTTTTTCTATAGATTTATTATTATTATAGAAGACTCGAGCAATAAAACTATATATAAAAAATTTTGTTTAATTTTATGAAAAAATAGGTTTAAAGTTATCCGATCTATTATCAAATTCTTAGTATTAATATCAAAGAATAAAATTAATTGATAAATTTCTTTCCTTTATCTTTATTCGCTTACCAACACATTAATAATTAATAATGAAAAGTTGATCACCAAAAATCCGCACATTATATTAATATTAAACATATGTTTGATGATCAATAACCACTTTGGATCGTGATTTTTCATTGATTTTCTAGATGTAAGTTTTTATTATGAGAATCTATGAAAGTATTGTAAATTTGACAAACTATAATAATAAGGTTTCATATATAATCAACCCGTCTGTATAACTATTATCCCGTGTAACCTCGTTTATGTCATTTTTTTATAAATTATATTAAAAACGCAATTGTTTGAAATGAGTAGTATTTAATAGCAATAATTATTTCTGAATATTTAAATTTATTATAATTGCTTGATCTTTTAAATGGTAACATAATATTGAAAATATCATTGAATGCATCATTATTCATCAAGTCACATGTATTATCTGTTTCAGTAGTAACTGGGTGGGTTTTACTTGTAACATTTACTGATTTTGAATCATTATCTGAAATATCTGGAAGATTAAATTTAGCTATAGTAATTATTTGATTTTCATTTTGCGATCTATAACAATCAAGTCCAGTAATAGAACGATGTAAAGTTATGTTCAAATTAGGTTTCTATAATAAATATAAAAATATATATTACAAATTAAAAAATCTTCCATTTAAAATATTACAATTACCATTATTATTTTGCGAGTTTAGAATAGTTTTTTTATAGTGGAAAAAGTTACGCATAAATGGTGGTGGGTAACCATTAATTATGTGGGTATACTGTAACAAAACCAGACAAAGTGAACATTATGTCACAGAGGATTGATTATAGATTTACTTCTTGTCCTTGTTTGATGTCTTTTCTTTCCTTAGGGGATAGTTTACAACAGTAAAAAAACTATTCCATGTTAATTATTTTCAACCTAATAATATTTCCTTGAAGGAAAATAAGCAAAAAAATCCTAAACGCTTGTTTAATAAGAGAAAGATCGGATCTTTCGTCCATGAGTCACCTGAAGAGAAAAAAGAAATTGCTGCCTCCACCATCAAAAATTTCTACCAGTGAGGACAAACCGAGAAAAAAATAAATAAGAGAAGCAATTCAGGGGTCGGTTGGCAAAGAAAAGAATAAAGAGATGAAGGAAGAGAAGGAGGAAGATAATTAAAAGATAATTTCGGATTTTTGGTGTGATAAGATCCTATTCTTTTTTACGCATTCATATCTAGAGTCACGATTTCTGATAGTTTCTGGTCTAATTGATTACATCATTAACTTGCCCATCTACAGAAAGCAAAGATTCGATTTTGAATCTTTTTGATTGTTTTGTTTAGCTTGTTGTCTCACTAAAGCATTGCCTGATTGAATCTGTCTGTTACAACATTTCATTTATTTGATTATCAATATCTCAATCTCTGCTTCAATGATTTAATTTCAGCTGGATCAGTTCATTGTCAAATTTACAACCTTTAAGCACAAAATGATCCAATGTTAGAATAATTACTTTGAATGCCTCGGAAAAATTCTGATAGTGGTCATTCTCTCAACGCGCTTTTATATAACCATAATAATAAATGTAACAAGATTAGTTTTTTCATACCCATCAATACAATCATCAATAGAGCTATCACCACCATTACTACAAAAAATTGATTGTTGATCGATTTTTGGAATCTGCTATAAAAATAGAAATGTATATTGCTTGTGTCTTGATATATATATATATAACACATGCAAGTATATAAATTATTTACCATGGTAATAGTCAATGATTCATTATCACTCCGTTAACCCGTTCTCCTTTTGTTTTTGATCTAACGGTAATTGACATAGTTGGCAAATTAATACTGTTACTTGATAGTAAATTCAGAATTCTCTTGGTGTGCGTGGTGAAGCTTGCTTAAAACATTCATCTGTGCAAAGTTTTCCGTTTTTTATTTGCGATACTAACTATACGAATAATATGCAAAGCTTGCTGTAACAAAAGTGGCTCAAAATTCTTGATAACAAATTATTATTATTTTTTTATAATAAAGTCAACATTATGTCAAACAAAGTCTATGAAGTTGTTGTACGTGAAAATGAAATTATGTGAATTCGCAATTCACATATGTGAAATTCAAATTTACATGTGTGAAATTCAAATTAGCCAATCAGAATTTCACCCCACTCCATAATATTTCAATTTCACATACAACAAAGTCATTAAATTTAACAATTTAACTGCATCATAGAGACCGTTGACTGATCAGGCCAGAATTCGAAACACTAGCTACTTACGCGCATGTGTTATCAAAATTCGTTAGATCCAAATTGTATGTTATTATTATTGTGGTAAATTATTTATAATCCATACACACACAATTACAGCGTAATATGATGTCCAGAGGACAACATGTTGGCACGAGAAGCTTTCTTTAATTGATGGGATGATTGCTCTTTCATATTCACAACGTCTTTTGAAGATAAACTTTCACTGTTTGCCCTATTAAGTCAAACATTATCTCAAACAATGAATGACTCAGGTAATTAGGTTGTGTAGAGTATGAAGAATGAAAGTATCTTTTTTGTTAGTATCTGCAACTTTTAATATAGGCAGTGGAAGAAAGCTTGCTGTATTTTCGGGATCACATTTGTTAAAGGAGAAATTAAAGGATTCGTTAACAGTTTAGTGCCATATTACATGATTTTTTTTCTTTATTCTATAAATCAAATAAATGATCAATAATGTAATTATAAATCAGATTGTAATTTACGCTTTTGTAAAGAACAATTTTATTGGGAAAGTGTGCCTTCAAAATTGATGCTTCTAGAAATAAATAAATTCTATTTTTGATGTAATTAAATTTTCTTCCCGTTTCTTTTTTCATGCTTTATTTAAACACTTTTTTGTTACTGTTTCCATCTATAAAATGATTAAAAATACCGTTCTCGTATTGATCATTTTAGCCTTTTGAATCAAATTAAAGTTTGGTTACTGCATAGTAGTTACATAAATAAGTCCGAAAAAGAAATATTCTATGATTTCGGAGTTATTAATATATACTAATTAATACTTATTGATTGAGAATACATTATCTATAAATATCAATAAAATAAGTCTACGAGGAAACTTTATCCTATTATTCGATATGAACAAAGGATTTCTATTCAACCAAAGCAAGAAAGTGAAATCAAGTTTCTTGACTTTATTTCTACTCCTCCCGCTTGTAACTGCATCGATTGTCGATGAAAATTATGAATCTGGACAGGATGTGTACGATGCAATTATTAACACATTCTTTCCGGTTTTTTTTGTCGTTCTATTCAATGTTTCAGGAAAGACTGGACGCATCAAAAATATAATGTTACCATTACTAGATGACTTATTATACAACACTATCACTTGGGTGATTCCGCTGGTAGTTTCTTTGGCCTATGATGATTTGCTGAGTATAAAGATATTTTCATTTGTAAACATGGCTTTGCATCTAATTGCTGCAGCAGGAGCAATAATTACGCATGAAAAAGTTAAAAATGTTATTGATGATCAACCTGTTTCTTTTTTCATTATCTCTGTATTCTTGATATTATTCCCAGCTATAATCATTCCAACATTCTGGATTGTTATTATTACAACTAGACATTTCTTTGAACCAATTAGTATAGTATTCCTTACATCATTTGGGATATTGTCAGTTACAGCACTCGTTTTTTTAATACTACTTTGTCTTCTGTGTTGTGGCTCAGAGATATCGAGACAAATAATTGATTCGAAGTTTGTTAATATATTATTTATTCCTGGATGGTTTTATCTCCCGAATATTCTGCAAACATTATTTATTGTGTTAAAATGGCCAATCAATTTTTACTTTGTCAAAGCATGCGTGTTTATACTGGTTCTCTCTTTAACAAGAAACATGTCTTTCTTTACAGAGAAGAAACCAGCACCTGATGACTTTCTGGCTACTTCAACAACATACACTCAATGTGAACTGCGCAAAATAATCGATGAAAAGATAAAGGAGGATGAAAGTCAAAGGGAAATAAGCGAGGAAATAGAAGAAACTCAAAAAGAAGAAATGAACAAATCAATGGCTGAAATGAAAAAAACAATTGCCGAAATGGCTGAAAGGATGGATAGAATGGAAAAATCAAGATATATTGGATGAAATTGTTGAATTACTATTCAAACACATTAGTTTTTTAGAAAGGACTATTGCTGCGGTGACTCCGTCATTAGTATATTTATTTTATTTATTTACTATTTACTATTACATCATTATAAAATAAAAAATGAGGATATAAAAATAATGATATCCATAAAGGAAATATCATTTTAATATTTGAAAAATAACAATCATGATAATAAGAGTTTAGATGATAATGATATCTCATCTATCATTGTTGGTAGAAAAGATAAATCTTATGCAGAGAAATTATTATCATCATTAATGACTAGTTCCTCCAGTCCCCTATTTTGGAAATTGTACCTTTCTTCTTTTACCTTATCAAATGTATTACTGCGAATAACTAATTTCCTCTCCAAATTCATCTCTGCTTTTTTATCTTGTGCTATATACATACCTCCAACTTCTTTTTCTCTTCTAATTCTTCCTTCTCCAACTTTTCCTTCATTTCTTTCACCTTCCACTCGATTGGAGTTTGGAGTTGTTGGTAATTCCTATTAATAGAACCCACTCGCCCCGATACAACATTAAGCAAAGGATTAATTTTATTGTTTTCTTTCACAGTAAGTTGTGCAAAATTCTTTTTCAAATAAAAAGTTGGGTCAAAGCCGAAGTTATCAATAATTCTCTACTCCTTTTACAGAAGAAGGAAAAACTTTCCAATTTTTGTTTATCAGTTAAGTTCCCTTGAAAGCAGTTAAGCAATGACCACACATATAATCTTCACCTAAAGCAGGTTCTTGGAAAGTGATCTTGCTTTAATTAAAACATTTTCTTGAAAACTCCTCCTGCCAGTTCTGCCAATGCTAACTTCTTTTTTAAATGATCAGCATTTAAGAATTCTTTTAAAAACTTTATCCAGAATTTTCATATGGTAATTTATTGCTATTATTACTATTATTACTAATGTCTATTTTGTAATCTCCAGCCAGAATTCGAAACACTAGCTACTTGTATGCATGTTATCAAAATTCATTAGATCCAAATTGTATGTTATTATTATTGTGGTATATTATTTATAATCTACATACATAATCCCTATAAAAATAATAATCCGTTATTTGAATTTTAATTCCACGAATTCGCAACAGTGGCAAAGTCCGTCTTTCCACTCCTTGAATATGATACGTTTCTGAAGAAAACATGAAATTTTAAATCACGGATCAGGTTTTTTTACATGCAATTTATAAGCTACGATGTCCAGGGGGGCGATATGTTGGTGCGAGAAGCTTTCTTTAATTGGCAGGATGATTGCTCTTTCCGTGTTGATTAAGTGGTTTACGCTCTTTTTGTTGGATCCAGAGCTACTGCTTAAAAATTAATAAAGATATTGATCCATAGAATCCAACTTTGTTTCACAATAAATGTTGTTATTATGTTCAAGTAAACTGAAATTTTTCTGCGGAATAATATCTGTTTCTTTATAATCCTTGTATTCAATTCATCTAAATCACTACAATATATTGAAATTCATGGCACTTCTCTTTTTTAAATCACAATGTTATTACCATTGATCTTTTACAATACAAGTACTGCCTTCTTGTTACTTATAAAAACCTTTGTTCTTGAAAGTGCGTCAAAATCTTCAATTATGATTAATTTCTTTGAACATAATGTAACCGATAATAAAACGATTTTTTAAGGAAAAAAATCTGTGATCCAATAACTAATACTCTTAACTAATCAACTAACAACTTAATTAAATGGATGGATAAATAGACAGTTAATCGATCTTGAAAGTGTTTACCAAGACTATTTTGCGTGTTTACCTTCAACTCTAGGATCATTATAACTCAAGAAAATATTCTTTGCTATCGTAGAAGAAATAGAAAAACAAATCAATATTGTAAGTGTAATAATTAAACGAGAGATAAATAGATATATTTTCTCTCACACACACACGCACTTTTTAAATTACATTTTTCTAGTGCCCGCCTGAACATGAATTACCTGTTTTATATTTACTTGATTCTATTTGTAAGAATGTTGGTGGACCATCTCTACCCGTTATTATTATTTTTTATAAAGTCTGACACGATCAATGAAGATGGCTCATCGTTAATTGTTAAATCCAATCGTTCAATATTATGGATTTATTTTGTCATAGTGGTTACGTAATGATAAAGTTTTTTGAATTTTGTAATAATTGATTATTTGATATTGGTGTTAATAGAGCTTTTATGATATCATCTGAGAAAATCAAATTACAAGCATCATCCGAAAAAAAACAAGTATTCTTGATTTGATTTTGTGCATTAATGAGTTGCTAAACTATAGTCAATACTATTATTATTATTTATTATATGATGAATCTCTAATACTCTTTTGTCAAGTATTTAGTGCTTTAATATAAAAAATTTTATACATCCATAAGAGGTATCACAAGATAAATTGCAAAAAATTCTGAAAATAGGTTCAAAAACTATGGTATTTTAAGCTTTCTAATATGTAATAGTTGGATGAATCTTGCTGTTTTTTTTTTTTTGTAATTTATTTTTGCCAGTGTTAAATTTCAATCCACTTGCAATAATAATTATAGTCATTTCAATGTATAACCATTTTAAGAATGATTAGATGATTTTCAATTTGTTATACAATATCAATTTGTACAATAAAAATCAAAAGTTCCATTGTTCATTTATCCCCTCCTTACGTTCCTCCTCTCTTTCTTCACTTTTCTTTTTTAACTTTTCTTAAATAAAAAATGGGTCTGGGTTTTAGTTGTCTTGGTTTTAGTGCAGTGCCTTGGATAACTTCTACTGTTATTTCATGTTTTTCTGCTGCCGCTTGTAATTTAGGTTGTAAATCATGCAACTGTAATAATTCTATAGCCACAAGAGTTGGATATGCTGTGAGTTATATAATATATAGGAATATACACAATATAAATGAATATATTAATTAAATTTTTTCTTTTATTTAGATTATATTTTTAATAAATTCAATGGTAAGTTATAATATGTATAATTATCGTTATTATTATCGTTATTATTAGTATGTATTATATCAGATGAAGAATATAATAAAAATTGATTATTTAATTTTTAAGCTTGCGTGGCTAATGTTGTCAGATTGGGCGATTAAACATCTAGAAAAAATAACACATCTACACCTGAGTTGTCCTGAAGGAACTTGTTATGGTGTCCTTGCCGTAATTAAATTTATTATTATTATTATGATTATTAATATTATATATTATATATTATATATTATTAGTTTATTCTATTGAATGACTTTCTTACTAGATTTTTTCAATTGATCTCTAGGTACATCGTGTTTGTTTTGCACTTTCGCTTTTTCATTTAATTATAGGATTATTAGTAATCAAAGTTAATAGCACTCGCGATAAAAGAGCATCTATTCAGAATGGGTATTATTAAAAAAAAAATAGATAAATAAATATATATATTATTATTTATTTTCAAAAAAAAAAAAAGTAACATTTTATTATTTTATATTTAGGTGGTGGGGACCAAAAGTAATATTTTGGATATTTCTTCTAGTTATTAGTTTTTTTATTCCAAATGAATTTTTTGTGTTTTGGAGTAGTTCCGTTTCGTTGATTGGAGCTGCAATTTTTATTCTTGTTGGTTTGATAATCTTGGTAGATTTTGTGCATAGCTGGAGTGAAAGTTGTATTGAAAAATGGCAAGAAGAAGACAAAGAATTGTGGAAATATATACTTATTGGATCAACGCTTTTCTTTTTTATTGCTTCAATTGTTCTCACTGGCATCATGTACAAATTTTTTGGAGGATCGGGATGTCACACCAACCAATTTTTTATAACATTTAATTTAATTTTGTGTGTTATTGGTACAATTCTATCTATTCATCCTATAATTCAAGAAAAAAATTCTCGCTCAGGTCTTTCACAATCATCAATGGTGGTTTTTTATTGCACATATCTCATTTTAAGTGCGGTAGTCAATGAACCTCATGACGATAATGATGGTAATAACATTAGCGGTAGTGATTATGATGACAATTCACCTGTTTGTAATCCTTTATTGAAGACGGCCAACAGTGCAAGAACCACTACTGTGATTATTGGAGCTTTTTTCACTTTTATAGCAGTCGCTTATTCCACATCAAGAGCAGCTACAGAAATCAATTCATTTATTACTAAATCAGACTATCATCCTATTAATACTGCAACTGCTGTACCATTAACGACCAACCAGTCAAATGGTAACATGCGATCTGATTCACTGCTGGCTGCTGTCGAAAGCGGGTATGCTTTTTTTAAAAATCATTATAATATGCCGTTGTGTGTGTGTTTACACGCATTGATATATAATGTTGTACAATTTATATTTTATGTATAAATATAAAGTTCAGTGCCTGCTTCAGCATTAGATGATGATGATGACGACGATGATGATAACTGTAATGGTGTTGATAATGAAAAGAATGGTGTTGCTTACAACTACACACTTTTTAATTTCATTTTTGCCATAGCTGCAATGTATGTTGCAATGCTTTTAACAAATTGGTATGTAATAGATGATGATATGCTTTATTTGTTATTTATTTATTCGCGTTTTTTTTTTTTAATTGAATATTTTCCATTTGTGATAATAATCACGATAATAATAATAACAACAGGAATACTATCCAAATTACTGAGAATACTGAATCGGATCAATTGATTATAATTGGTAGAAGTCTTACATCTGTTTGGGTCAAAATTGTTTGTAGTTGGATTTGTATATTGTTATATTTTTGGTCACTCGTTGCACCAGTTTTATTACCTGAAAGATTTGAAGTATGATTATGATTATTCTTCTTCTTTTCAATATATATAAATTATTATTTCAGCGATTATTAATTTAAAATTCTTTTTTTTTTTTTTTTTTTTCGATTAGGGACTTTATTTTTAAATCAATTAATTTTTAAAATAAGCAAATAATAACTTGTATAAATCATAAAAAAACAAATTATCATATATACATATATAATCAAATATTTAAATATTGAAAATAAAGCAAAAAGGAGAAAACTTCTTTAATAGCACCTTTACTATATATTATGTATATTGAAGATTCATACCAATCATTAATAAGTCTGACTCGTCATTAGCCATATAACTAGAATGTTGATATTCATCGAAAAAAGTATAGAGATTAGAATTTTCCGATAATCTAGTGGCTAATTGTAAAATCAATTCATCAGTTTCTAACTCATCGATCGACATTCTAAAATCGTTGTAATTATAATTATTATAATCATTATTATTACTATTATTACTATTATTATTATTATTATTATTATTATTATTATTATTATTATTATTATTATTATTATTATAATGATATAAAAGCTTGGATTTTGTTATCATCATTTTATGACGTTTTCTATCTTCCTCAATTAAAAATTTAGACTCGTCCTCCTTGTCCATAAGAAATTCTATTTTTTCTCTAGCAGATAATTTTGATAATATTTGATCGACCTTAAAATAAGTCGATATCCAATATTGCTTTTCGCCCTTTCCCAAAGGATCTTTATGAGATACTGTAGGAATTGCTTTTAAAGTTTCCTTGCGCACATTAGGTATCTGTTCGATAAATTTTTCTTCGCTATAAAAATAACATTTTTAATAATAATTAATAATAATAATTGATTGATTAATCGAACGAAATGTGATTTTTGATAACTACTTGCCTCATAATATTTTCAATCAAACAAGTTTTGCAGAGACGTTCTTTTGGTATGAAATAAACACAAACATTATCACTGTTGTAAGTATTATTGTAAATATTATTACGACCTCTACCACATCGTTGGCAGCCATTTTTAATGCATAATAATTTAGTGTAATCTCTCTCAGACATTCCAGTCAATACTTCGTAATCATTGAATGGCGTGTAAGTGTTTCTAGAGTGCTTCCATAACAATTCGATAGCTTCACTATCCTTTGATCTTAGATAGTCCTTGAATTTTTTACAAACGCACTCCAATTTCAACAAGTCATAAGGATCAAGAAATTCGCAGATTGCAACAAAAATTTTGATGGCATCGTAATATTCATTGGTGTTTGGTTGAGGATTTAGTAAAGCTCTTTCGAGAATTGGTTCCGTTGAATTCATTACAAGCATGGTTTTAATGCTATGAATATATGAATAAATTAAATATATACACAAGACGAATAATTAATATTATGTTAATGTTGAAAAAAAAAAAAAGTGTTATTATTATTTGTTTTCTTTCCGTGAAAATAAAAAAGAAAGATTTATAAAAAACTTGTGAATGGGATTTTTGTTTATAGCGGTCCATTATTACTAAAAACAAAATGATTAATACAAATGCGTAAAAGTCATTTTGGAGGGTTTTTTCCCATGGAGCGCACGAATCAAAATTAAGAATTATTCTAGAATTTCTTTGTTCCATGGCTTATTCTAATGTTTACTTATGGAATGTTATAGCTGTATTCGTAAAACTAGGAGTTATAACTTCTTACTAACACTGGTTAAATATGTAAAATTCTGGTTTTTTTTTTTTTAATATTAATTTTTTTTATATTAATATAATTAATGTTAATTTTTTTTATATTAATATAGTTAATGTTAATTTTTTATATTAATGTTATTTTTTTATATTAAATATCTTAACCAAAGCCGCTGTATAACGGGGGAAATAGAGGCTAGTGGCCGTAAACAAAATTTTTTTTCTAACGTTGGTTGACTTCGTGTTTTTTTTTTGCAAATGAAATAAAAATGGATTTTGTTCGCATACTCGATGCATGGAAATTATTTTCCAAGACAATAAATTATTCAATGAGAATATTCGTAATGGTCAAGTAAGAGTGGAATGTGTGTGTGTGACAAAAATCATCGACAATGAATGAAGCTGTAAAACTTTTAGCAAAATAGTTGTCCAAAAAGGAACGTGTCATTTTTAAAATCAACGGAAAGATTGCTCCTAGGAAACAATTTCCGCTTCAGAATGTCTTTGTGCTCACAAATCCACCATAAAAAAAAAATTCTTTGCTTTGTTTTATTAACTTTTAGAGTATTCAATTCTTGTTTTTATAAATATAATGATTGATTTTTCTCCATCTCGATAAAATGTAATCCATTAGCGCTGATCGACCGATTTATTAACAAAAATAGATTAAATTCATTTACGTCATTTTTTTTTACCGATGATGACAATACTTTGTATATATTATTATTTTTTATATTATTTTTAAATTGTCTGCCAAATCTTCTCAGGGGTAAAATAAATATTCTCACTATTTTACGGTGGGACAAAAAGGCTATATTAATATATATATATATTTTAAAATAAACGTATTAGTATATAATACTAATTAAAAATCTGATGAAGTTCAAGAAATAAGCCTTAATAAAAACTTTCTCAATATAACAGATTTTTCCTTAATTACTAATACCAAGCTATCAGATTCACTGTGTGTGTAAAATTATAAAAATGAATCAGATCACTACTGACACATGTTTAATATTTTCTAGTTTTTAATTGTTTTTTATTTTAAATTAAAATGATATAATCGTGTAGTTTGCCGTCTTTTTTTTTATTGATCAATATTTATCACGTCTGAAATTTGTCACCGAAAAATATATTAACATCAATGCTATTAAGAAAATTATTTTTGGCCTGCCATATTTTTATTATTATTATTTATTAATAGGATTATTAATGGAAAAAAAATTTAATTAACATCCAATTGCTAATAAAAAATTATTTTTGATAATATTTTTGGTGATCAGCTGTATTTATTATAATATATTTTCGGTGACAAATTTCAGATGTGATAAATATTGATCAATAAAAAAAAAAGACAAAAAAAAAGGCAAACTACACGATTATCAACATATTCCGTCTGTAAGTATATCATCATTAGAGGTTCCTAGACTTTTGGCTAGGCAATTTGAACAAGAAATTATATCTGATTTTTAGAGTTGTTACAACAATAATAGAAGCGGAGCTGTATTTGTTCGAATATTCAGAAATTATGTAACAAGATATTCAAGCGTTGTGTTTTTAAAGGAAAGAAAATTAAATGAATGTTTGGGTCAGAAGAATGGGCCATTAAATACTATGAAAATAATGAAACTGTTTTCTCGGACACATGACACGATCAGAAGGTGGAGGATATGTAAAAGGAAATAAAAATTGTAGATGGTAGGGGAAAAGTAATAAGTTGACCGTTAAGTTATGTATTTTATAATATTCTTCTAATTAATAATTACATTAATTTCTTCATCAAATTACATTAATTATACTTGATAATTATATTTATTGAATATATGTAACATTCACTTGTTAATATATGTCTCCAAGTAATAACAAGATTTTAAGTTGGAGAGCACGCGAGAAACACAAGCACCAAATACACATACATCTATTTCGTGACAAGATTGAATCCAGACAAGATTTGTTTTTGTTTTTTTTTTGCCATCTTGTTAAATTTTGTGACCTTCAGCATTAACTTTTTCTAGTCTCTTATATTCTTCTAGACTGAGAGTGGTCAAAATCAAGGATATGTAATTTGTTTAATGAGGGAGTTCAGCTCATTGCAACACATACTTGTCTCTCAGCAAATATGTTCTCGGCGTTATATGCGGTAGAGTCAACAACCTTTGCGTCTTGTGAATGGTCAAGGAAAAAGCATTTTGGAGTGGGAAACTGTTCTCTTGCCATCAATTTCGAAATAGGCCAAGTAGAAGATGACGATTTTTTCTCTCCTTTTTTATCAAAGCTCTTCTCCGCTGCTTCAAGTTTGTTGTTGTTATTATTGTTTTCCTTTTCGGCCACTCCACAACCTTTGAAATTTGGTACTAATTCTGAGTTTCCCGATGACAGAAAAGATTGAAGTAGAAGCCTACAACGGATCGAGACCCACGATTTTTACCCGGGCCATACTCAAATGGAGGTATGGATTTGGACGACTGTAGTATATTTGATCGGATATGGGTTTGAATGAACCCGGATTTTTATGCAACCTATTAAAAGAAAAAATAATAATCTAATGATCTAATGTTGATTAGTCAGTTTTATGATCCAGATAATAATGGTAAAACGAAATTGATAAATATTTGTCTTCAAAAGAATTGAATTTAGAACAGTGGAGAAACTATCAATATTATATTCTTATTATTATTTATCAATTACCCCTGCGGTGCACCCATTGAAAGAGAGCTGATTTAATAATGAATAAAAAAACTCAACCAAATTTAAATCAAGAAATAGCCGGTAGTTCTCTCAATAGTGATTCTTAGCTAAAAAAATTTTTTTAAAAGAGTATACTCAGGGTTTGGGTAAAATTTGGAAACTTTTTTTGAGTATGGTTATAAAGTTTTGAAAAACGGATTCGGATATGGATATAAAACTTTGATATCATGCAGGTATGGGTTATATATCAATATAGATCCAATTACTGTTATTCGTTCGACAAAAATTTGTATTTGTTATTATTATTTACCTTACGAGCGAGTCGTCTCTATCTGGGATTTTGACTAGGAAAATCAACCTCTCAGCTGATTTTTTTTATTTTGAGTTTTCTTACTTAATATTAATTATTATATATAAAGGAGAAAAAATTGGATCTTGTTTGCATGAGATATAGGGCTTGGAATACTTTCTTTATATATATTAAAAAAATGTGTAACCAGATTTAAAAGGATTGTTACTGTAGATTTTCCAGTCCAATAATTCACATCTATGTTTTTACTTTCTTGTTATTTGGTTGTAGAGGTTCGTCTAACCTTGAAATAGTTTTTTCTCCATTTCCCGTGTGTAATAATGTATGACGAAACTTTTGACTTTAGTCATTGACGTGACGAAAGTACTGACTAAAGGTAGCTTCTCACCAAAGGCCATTTTGACGATTTGACAAAAGTAAAATTGAAATTTTTTTTTTGTTTATAATAAAATATACTGTATATATAAGACACCCTTTAATTACATAAAATAAATATTTAGAGTAAAATTATTTTGAATTGAATCTATAAAAGCAACTGTAATAATAATATAATAATAATAGACTATTATAATAACAACCATAAACCATTCAAATTACAATCACTGCGCTAGCAACTTCCACCTCCTTTTTTATATCCAGTAGTAAGTTCATGAGATAATATTGCTGCTTAAGGTAAGGAGGATTAGTTTTAAATGTCAAATCCACAAAATAAATTATTTGGTAGACCTTCCTCAAATGTGTAGATCCATCAAGAAGAAAACCTAAAGGACGTTGTTCTGCACAATGCAAGTACAAAAGGTTTAATTGTGAACAATCGCAAAAACTTTTATCACATTTGACAAATCACTGTCCTGGTTATACGTGTTGTCAAAATTTAATTTGGCTTTGACTCAATTCCTAAAATTTCAAATTTTTAATCGCGTCTGATTCAATTATTTATATCATTAATTGCGCCAAAGAGTCACCTGATTGAATCAAGTGATCAACCTATTCCTACTATATGTATAGTAGTCCTAGTTGTACTTGTGAAATTAAAAGAGAATGTCAAAGACAAATAAACAATGATGATAATAATGAATTTTAGAATCATCATCAACTCAACAACCAATTTCAAATTTTTATGAAAGCAAATTGTTGACAAAAGAACACAATGATTCTATTAACTGGGCATTAAATCAAAGCATTTGTTTGCTGTATGATTTCTTTTTTAGTTATCAGTAATCCATACTTTATAGATCTTCTTCTAGAAGTGATTTATCTGGAAAATTTCTTGATACAGAAATATTTAATGGAAGTGGAAGTTTACAGATTAAAAATAATGACAATTTTGAAAACTGAGCCAATCATTATACTTAGAAAGTGAAGATTGTAATTTAAAAGACGGAAATGATGATGAGGAGATTGAAGATAATAAATAATGATAATTGCAATCTAAGCAAATATATCAAAAAGCCAAAGCTTATATTAGAACAACATAATTTCATAGAAGAAATGTTGATAACGAAGTTGTAAAAATAAATATATTTTAATAAAAACTTTTTTTACTTGTTTTGCCAATGACTTCGATGATTTCGATTTTCGTCAAGGGCTTAATCATTCGTCAAGGGCTTAGTCATTCATCAAGGGTTTTGACTTTCGTCAAGGGTTTAGTCT